AATGTCTTTGATTTGTAAGGAAAATTATTTTCAACCTAGAATTGTATATTCACCTAAACTGTTGATATGAGGGTAAAATAAAGATGTTTTTAGTCATGCAGGAAATAAAATACTATGTGTGCAGTCTCAAAAAAGTAGTAGAAAGTGTTCTTTACAAAATGAGAGAACTAAAAAGAAAAAGACTCGGGATCCAGGAAATAAGGGTCCAACAGAGAGGCAAGGATAAATTCCCAGGATGATGATGTAAGAAACTCCAAGAGTGATAGCTGGGCAACAGTCTTGGAGGGCATCCAGTCCACAATGGAGCAGACCAGAGAGCTTCAGGAGGAGTAGTTCTAAGAAAAAAAGTGAAAAGGATAGATTAGCTGATGTAATTGATCATTTTGAAAATATATTTACAGTTCTGTCAGAGTTCAGTATAAATTTGTGATAATGTACTTTTAGCAAATGAAGCAAAACAAAAATGAAAAATATTAACTCTAAGGTAAAAAAAATTACATAAGAAAAGAAATTTAATGGTAGTACATTAATTTTCTTAATTGAAATGGCATACTATAAATACTATTTTAAGATTTTATTTATTTGAGAGAGTGAGAACGAGCTTGCTCGTGAGCATGAGTGGGGGGGGACGGGCAGAGGGAGAAAGAGGGGCAGAGGGAGAGAGAGAAGCAGACTCCCCACTGAGCAGGGAGCCCAACATGGGGCTCAATTCCAGGACCCTGGGATCATGACCTGATCCGAAGGCAGACGCTTAACCGACTGAACCACCCAGGGACCCCTAAGTACTATTTTCTAATCAGACATAATTTTTAACGTGCTTTTTATTTTTTAATTTTTTTAGATTTACTTATTTTTAGAAAGAGCATGAGTCGGGGGAGGGGCTGAGGGAGAGGGAGAGAGAATCTCAAGCAGATTCCCTGTTGAGCGCAGAACCTGACATGGGGCTCAATCTCATGACCCAGAGATCATGACCTAAGCCAAAACCAAGATTTGGATGCTCAACAGACTGAGCCACCCAGATGCCTCTTAACATGCTTTTTATTTTTGGGGTGCCTGGGTGGTATTTTTAAGATTTTATTCATTTATTTGACAGAGACACAGCGAGAGAGGGAACTCAAGCAGGGGGAGTGGGAGAGGGAGAAGCAGGCTTCCCACAGAGCAGGGAGCCCAATGCAGGCTCGATCCCAGGACCCTGGGATCATGACCCGAGCCTAAGGCAGACGCTTAATTACTGAGCCACCCAGGCTCTGCCTTAACATGCTTTTTTAAAAAAACTATGAAAATACATAAAATCTACCATCCTCATTATTCTTAAGTGCAAAGTGTTAACTATATGCACGTTGTTGTATACAACAAATCTCTAGAGCTTTTTTTTAAATGTAATTTTAATGAATATGTAATATTTCATTATAAGGATATACCATAATGTTGTTTATGCAGTCCTATATCTTTGGACATTTAATTCTTTCTACTATTTTGTCATAATTTTGAGTTTTGCAGTAGAAATGTTTCTGGCTAAATCTTTGTCCACATCCTTGACTTTTTCTTCAAGTTAAATTCGTGAATCAGAGGAGGTACACATTTTCATTTAAGTTTAATCTTAAGTAGATATTTATTTATTCATTTTCTTTGACTCAAATACATAGTTCCTTTTGATCTTTGATTTAATGTCCAGAAACCTAGAGATTTTGATTCAGTTAATCTTAGGTGGGGCCTGGACATCTTATGTTTCAAAATCTTCACAGATAGTTAGGAACCATTTCTTTCTTTCTTTTTCTTTCTTTCTTTCTTTCTTTCTTTCTTTCTTTCTTTTTTTAAGAGTGCAAGCGGGGTGTGGTGGCGAGAGAGAGAGAGAGGGGGGTGGGTGGGTGGGGAGAGAATCCTAAGCAGGCTCCACGCCCAGTATGGAGCCTGAAGTAGGGCTTGATCTCACAGCCCTGAGATCATGACCTGAGCCGAAATTAAGAGTTGGATGCTTAACCAGCTGAGCCACCCAGGCACCCCAGTTAGGAACCGTTTCTAACTGTTTAATGGACGTAAGCAAAAGTACTTGTGGGAAATGTGTGTGTGTCATCTTTGTAGAAGATATTTGGAATGTAGACCATTTAAAATGCTTAGAAAAAACGTTTTCTTTTTTCCTTAGGAACGAATGATCACACACTTTGAAAGGTCCAAAATGGAGTAAGAAAAAATGGGAAGATGTGCAGTTGAAGATGGGCAATACCTGGGAAGAGATCAGCTTCTGTGTTAATCTTCTACACTCCTCCATGGAATTAAAGGAGGCAGTGAAACCTGATCTGTTCCTTGACCTTTGTGCATTGGAGCTGGTGAGAGGTGTCAGAACAAGGAGAACATCTTACTGAAAACAAGTTCATAGGATGAGAAAAATCTACAAGTGTTTTATTTACAACATTGATGCCCCTTTTCTTCCCACACCCAGACATGGATGTTTATGCAACTTATGTGTGTTGTTCCTGAGCCTTCTATAATGTTTAAATTGTTTAATCTATCAAACTAAAAAGTTTAACATCTTCTAAAGAACTATGACATCAACGCCATAATATGTAATCTCCAGGAGCAACTTCCTATAATTTTTATTTATTTAGGGAGTTACATAGGTGATGGGGGAAATTGTTAATTATTTTTCCATTTCCTGAGAAGCCAAGACTTCTTGCAGAGGTAGTTTGGAGACAAAAAGAATCCTGAGTTAAGGAGCCATGGTTCTATCGATGATTTAGAACAAAAAGAAGAGTGTGCAAGAAAGAAACCTGTTACAGTATGATTCAGACCATTTAAAAAAAATCAAGTGCAATTTTGTTTACAAATGGTGTATATTAAAGATTTTTCTATTTCAGATGTACTTTAGAGAGAAATATTAGCTTAACTCTTGACATCTGCTATTGTGACACATCCCATTGCTGGCAATGTGGTGCACACTCCAGAACTTTTAACTACTGTTTTGTAAGCCTCCAAGGGCGGCGGCATTGCAGAATCCTAGGCAATGCTTTGTTTGCCTTCATGCCATTCACTGGGTGTTGCACTAGATGCAAAGAGGCACTCCATCTAAGTGCTTGTGAGTGAGCGCCCTGCTAAAGGAACTGTAATGCTTAAGCAGGAGCTAATACAAAGGAAACAGGTCCTTCTGGCTTAATTGAAACAGTTTTTCCTGCATGAAGTAGTGTGGAGGCCCTGGACTGCTGCTCATTCTTTAGGATTGACTGTTCTTATACCTGGTGTTGGTTTAGAGACTGTTTATAAGAGACATCACAAGGTGATGGGATTCATTTGAAGCACTATATTTCTGTTTTAATGGTTTTGTCCAATTTTGCCTTCCCAAGATTTTTGTTCTACGTAGAAAGTTCATGCCACTTTTTAATATAAAAAAGTCTTAACAAAATTAATATATTTTCCTCATTTTTTTTCGGACTTGCCTCTAAAGACCCTTCTTCCTCCTAAACTCTTGTGGGAATTTTCCTTCCATGGTTTTTGTTCTACATCGTCTTATTGTGAAACCAGGGACCACATGACCGCAATCTTTACTAACTCATAAAATAGTGAAAGTGTTTACATTTATTTAACATCTCTCTATAGCTGTTTGCTGTGGTGATTTAAAAAAAAAAAAATCACCTGGGCAATATATCTAAGGAACAATATGAAGAACTGACTATATTCTCAGGTTAACCCACTAGCAAAAGGCTATTGGTACTATTGTGTGCTTCTGTTCTTCCATACTGAAACTTAGCAAGTGAAAAATAGTTGTAATGCAGCAAGATAGTTGGTCAAATATTTTCTGACGGTGGGTAGATGTTGACTTAAGGCTAGGGAAAAAATCATATTGTGCTAAGCAGGAGTGTATAGTAAATTATGTAGGCTGGGACTTGATAATTCTGTTTTCTCTTAATGGGTTATGTCACTGTGATTAGATACAGTGTATTATTTCTTAAAACTGGTTCTGAAGTAATTTATAGTATTATGTTGATCTATTTAGTTCTTAGTCCTTGGGCCTGAAACTATTAGGTATTAGGCCTTCTTCGAGGACAGCAGCTGGCAATTCTGAATTTTCAAGGTGTTCATTTTCTGTGGTGAAAATCAGCCACAACACTTGATTTATTTAGCAATTTTTGTGTTAGTATTAACACTTTGAAAATATTTCACCGGATTATCAGACATAGCATTTGGTAAAGATGGGACAACTATCCTAATTTACAAGTGAAGAAACTGCCATTGTATAAAAATGAAGTGAAGGAGGGGGTAATAAATAAACTGACCAAGGCCATTTTTTTTACTTCTTATCATAGACTCACCCCCTTTTTCATTAACTTTTTTGCTTTAGATCCAAATGCTTACTTTTATGACTTACCTCCTATTTCCTGTGGGGGCAGTGGGGGGGTGGAGTTGCCAAATTCACCTCATTGCGGTGGTTTTCAAATTTTAAAGTGCATGGACTCACTTTGGGGACTTACTAAAACACAGACTGCTGAACCCCCCAACTCCAGATACTCTGATTCGGTAGGGCACGAATGAGGCCTGAGACTGCATTTCTAACACGTTCCCAGGTGGTGTTGATGCTACTGGTGTAGGGATCAACTTTGAGAACTACTGCCCTAGAACGACCTTTAAAAAAGGGTAAGATACTTGAACTGGTTGAGATTATAATGGTAACGCAAAAACCACCATTTACTGGGTGTTTATAGAGTGGGTCAGGAATTGCTAAGCGCCCACAACGCTAGGTTAGTGCGGAACACTGCCATCTTTTTGCAGATAATCTCCAGAGACTTTGTTTTCTTAAACGTCACAGCTAATTTCCTAAATGGCAGATCTCCATCCTGGCTAGCAAGCCAAAGCCCAAATTCGCTGCCTGAAACAGTCGTAAGATTTTTTTACCCCTTTTTTGTTAAATCCTATATCGCTAATTGGCTCCGTGACTTGGATCCCGGGGGAAGGCGGGGACCCAAGCGCCGGCGCATTCCTCAAAGGCGCTGGGGCGGAAGGGGCGGGGCTTCTGCGGAAGAGGCGGGTTTAGCCCGGAAGGAAGTCAGGTGTTGACGGCTGTGTTGTCGTACGGCCTGTAGCTAGGGTCTCCGTCCAGCCTCACGGTTGGCCCTTTCAGTGGGCTGGTTCCCGGCCCAGGACCGGACCGGCCCATTCCGGGTGAGACTGCTGTGGTGACTGCTCGCCGCCATGCACGACGCCTTCGAGCCAGTGCCAATACTAGAAAAGCTGCCTCTGCAGATCGACTGTCTGGCTGCCTGGGGTGAGCTGAGGGCCCGAGGGGCCGAGGCGGGGTCAGCGCAGAAGCTGTTCCGACCTTTCACAAGGCTGGGAAAGTGGACAGGCATCTGACTGTATGAACTCCGGTCGGACTCTGTCCGAAAGAAACCTGGGATGAGGGAGGGCATAGTATTGTAGACAGCGAGCGCAGTGGGACTGTTTGGGCAATCCTCAGGGACCCAGTCATGTTAGGTACGACTCTTGCTTTCGGTAGAGCTTTTCTTATTGACTGCTCAGCTTTGGCTCCTTTCGATTCCCAATAAGTCTTCAGTTTGGAGGGGCAGGCACTGGGGAGTTTTCAACTTGCCCGGGGCCTGACTTGTCCAGATGATTCTGTTGTTTTCTAGATGAAAAGCAACACTATTTGGGGGGCACTAAATGCGTTAACACCATATGCCTTTTTTCCCTTAGTGATCACTCATCGTTTACTTCTCATTACTGTAGGTAACTCACGTTGTTGTTCTAAACAGTCTAGCCAAGTGGTTGATTGCCTTATGTTCAAAGTGCTCAAGCTACCTAACTATGTAGGTAGAAGAGCATCATTTGAGGCTATCATGAAACCTAACCTATTAAAAATTTGTGTAATCCTCTTGGGATTGGCCAGTACAGAAAGCAGGGTCTGGCATCTCTTGTATGCTCTAGAATACAAATGGTTTCAGGGGTCTAAACCTTGACTTTTAATTATGAACATTATGCTCTTAGAGTGGTTGTGTCTGATAACAGTCATGAAAGACCAAACAAATAATTTCAGTCTTTCTTGTTAATGTCCAGTTGCTAGAAATCAAGGGCCATAAAAAGGTGGTTCAGAACTCTTAATCAGATCTTATACTGAGTTAGGTACCCAAGATGGGCCTGGTGGAATCTGGTGGTGGCTGGCATCTTCTGCATCACTTACGGACATTGCCACCCAGGCAGTCTTGCAGACTTCCTCACAGCCTTTTCAGTAGGGTGCTTTCTCTACAGCTCTTCATGTTGATGTGCACAATCTTGCCTCTAGCAACCCTGGGCTTCTTTACAATCACACCCCCACAGTAAGCTGTGCTAGTCCCTTGGGTTAAGGAGAGAACCTTGCTTCCTCCAGATATCTCAAGAAAACCTCCATTTTCTGTTATTAAATGCTCAGCAAAAATTTAAATAGAGGAGAAAAGAAATTTAAAAAATGAAAGACTTGACACTGCACAAAGGGACACATTTTCCTAATTCTTCATCAAATATGTATTAAATGCTTATATGGACCAGGTTCTCTGCTAAAGACAAGGATAAAAGGGTGAGTAAGAAACTGCCTGTGCTCCTAGGACACACAGTGAGGGACAAAGTCATAGGAACAGATTATGATACAAGATAAATGATACTGGAGTCATATGCTGCCTATTACAGAAACATGGAGGAGGGGTACCCACCTCAGCCTAGGACATACGCTTCTGGAAAGGGTGAATGCAGCTGCTTACAATGCTTTGCTTAGCTTGCCAGAATCCTTGACTGATACCCTATGGAACTAATAGTACATGTATCTCAGCCTCTCACCAATCTACTTTGTCACAGTAAAGATTCCCTGTACTTGAGCTTTTCAGAAAGATAGTTTGGAAATGCTAGGTACCTCTGTCTACCTTGATCTCCCACCCTACATGAGAAATGCTTATTATCTTCTAGGATGTTATGGTAGGTATTGGGCTACAAGAGGCTACTTACCACCTCTTGACTCAAAACTGTTTCTGGACTTAAGCAGCAGTGAATGTTGCTATATCTAGTTGTTACCCCTTTTACCTAAAATTCATCCAGGAACCTTCTGAAGCCAGATCATGCAGGGCTAGACAATATTCGAGAGACACCATAATCCATCTCTTGGGAAATGGAAATGAGGATACTGATGATGACTTCTCCCTAAACTCCAGAGTTGTAGAATCCAGCTGCTTTTTCTGCACCTTCATATGGATGTCTAATAGCATGGCCTTAATGGTTCTTGATTCCACTCTCCCAAAACATGCTTGTCCCCCTGTATCCCACATCTCAGCAAATGACATTTCTGTTTACCCATTTTGCTGATGATTTTGGAATCATTCTTCATTTCTCTTATACACCACATCCAGTCCATATGCAAGTCTTGTCTGCTCCACCTCCAGAATAAGTCTAGAATCCAGTCACTTCTCTCCATCTGCACTATTTCTGTTCTGATGAAAGCACCACCTCTCTCATCTGAATTACTATAGTAGTCCTCTGACTGATCACCGTTTGTGTGTCATTGTGCCACTTTCAATCTTTTATCCACACAGAGGAAGAGTGATCCCTTTAAAACTTAATCTGATCGCATCTCTCCTCTACTCAGAACCCTTCATAGCTTCCTGTCACAACTAGAATAAGTTCCAAAGTCCTTGCTGTGCTTTCTACATATGACATAATCAGGCCTATGGTTACTTCCCCTCATCTACCCCATCTGTGCTCTTACCCCTTGCTCCATTCTCCTACTAGTCACACAGTCTTCCTTGTTCCATAACACACAAAGCATGTACCTACCTCGGGGCTTCTGCACTTGTTCTTTTCCTCCGCCTGGCACTCTCTTGCTCTAAATATTACATGCCTCATTCCTCATTTCCTTCAGATGTCTGCTGAAATGTCACATAAATCAACAAGACCTTCCCTAACGATGCTATATAAAAGACAAGGTGCTATTCTCTTCCTCAGCCTTATCTTTCTTCTTCTCATGGATTGCTGCCTAATGCTATTTTATGTTATATTATTAGAAAATTCCTTCAGAGCAGGAGCTTTGTTTTGTACATTGCTTTATTTGTAGTTCCTAGAATAGTTCCTTATAATGGGTATTCATTAAATCTTTCTGTTGAATGAAGGAATGAATGAATGAATAAATGATGATATTAATAGTAATAGCTTCCATTTATTGAGCACTTATCTTTTTTAAACTTTTATGAAATAATAACTCCATTTTGCAGAGGAATAACCTGAGAATTTAAGTAATTTTTCCAAGGTCACATATCCAGTAAATCATGTCTGATTCTGGACCCTGGTTCCCAAACTCTAATATATATTCAGAACCTGTAAAAAAAAAAATGCAGATGTTTGTATGTATGTGTATCTGTATGTGTGTCTACACAATCATTCTATTTTCCAAAGAAATGGTAGGATAAAAAGGACTAAGATGGTTGCCTATAGCAGAGGGAGAAAACAGGGAGAGTGGACAAGGATGGAAGCCAGACTTCCCACAGTTTTAACATTGAAACTACATAAATGCATCATATAATTAAAAAATTGGATTTAAAAAATGCAGATTTCAGGTCACCACTACAGAATTATTGTGTCAGAATCTCTGAGAACGGCACTCAGGAATGTGCATTTTTTAATAAGTTCAGGTGATTTGGATGCAGCTAAAAAGGCTTATGCTTTAAGGAACACTGTTCTTTGCCCTATGACCCAGAAGAGGGAAGTGACCACTACCTTTTTCATTTCTGTATTCCCTGCAGTGGTCAGCATTGGGCCAGGGATGGAATTGTTCATCACATGAGCTTGGACTAGGTTGTACTGTTGGACGACGGAGCTTCATTAGGGTAATTATGAGCAAGATGGCCCAGCACCTACTCACTTTGCAGGAGGAATAAAGTCCAGCCTTGTGGCTCAGGATTAGGCTGTCAGGAATTCTCTAGGGCTGATTCACATTTGTTTATATATGTGTTACCCACAGACTACACCGTTTTTGTAGTGTGTTCCACTTTCTGATTTGCTGTGTTGAATCTCAGAAGGGACTGTCTACCCCACTCTGTGTTGGCTCTGCAAGTCTCTCATTCTCTGTGTTTTGTATCCATGATTGTATTATATGATGACATGTCATAGAATGTGGAGACCCAACATGGGTCGGGTCATCTGGTCACCCGAGCCCCCACTGACTTTTTTTTAATTAATTTTTTTTCTCAAAGTTTTTATGTATTTATTTCAGAGATAGAGAGAGAGCAGGAGTAGGTGGGTGAGGGGCAGATGGAGAAGCAGTCTCTCCAGTAAGCAGGGAGCCTATGCGGGGCTCGATCCCGGGAGTTGAGCCGAAGGCAGACCTTAATCGACTGAGCCACCCAGGCGCCGCACCCCCACCCCCACCCCTGACTTCTCTAACCAAAGCAAGTCTCTTCAAGGTTGTGTGCCATTAGTGCATCTGGGGTGATGCGCTGTTTTCCCTTGGGAGTGTGAGGATTAGGAATGTGTATGTGGTGCTTTTACTAATTAAAGGAAAGTTGTTACAATACTTTACATGTGTGATAAATGCATTTTTTCCTCAGCACCTTCAAATGAAAATGTGAAAAGGGTTAAATAAAACCTCAATTAAAAATTTTGTTAATTTTAATGAATTTGTCTGATTCTGTTTTCTGACCAATAGACATTTGATAAGAAACATCTGTTGGCAAGTAAACATTTCAATAAAAATGGAAAGTAGACCCTTGAATGTCATGCTTATGAGTTTGACTTCATTATTTTGGTAGTGCAGCTTCATGAGGATTTAAGCCCCAGTGTGACAGAATCACAGACGTGCTCTAAGTAACGTACAGCAAACGTGGAAGAACACGTATAGTGAGAGCAGTTGAGGCCATCACAGGGGTCCCTGGAGGGACTGGGATATGGCTGTTGTGAGGTACCTTGTAGAGGTAAAATTGATAGGCCTTGCAGACCTGAGTGTTAAGATGAGGCTGTTAAAAGAGACAAAAACAGGAGCTGGTAGGGATTTGGGGAGCAGAGTAGGGAGGAAAGAATGGGGAAGATGGTGAGTATTCTTTTGGCCTTTTGGTTATAGATTCTTAGTATGTTACAAGTGAGTTAAAAAAATTTCTACCTCATTTTATTTATATCTGAAATAGCAGTGGGTGTCCTGAAAATCAACTTCAGTATTCCCAGTTGCTCAATACAGTGATATCTATAAGTAGAACTCTAAGCACAGTATCTTTTACAAAGCAAGCATTGTGAACTTGCTTCTTTTGCTTTCTACGTTCTGCTCCAACATAAATCTCCAACCTTGCTTCATTTGCTTTCTATGTTCTCCTCCAACATAAATCACCAACCTTCCTTCCTTTATTTATTTATTTTTATTATGTTATGTTAATCACCATACATTACATCATTAGTTTTTGATGTAGTGTTCCAACCTTCCTTTAGAGCTAGTGTTATTTCTCATTTCTCTTATGTCATTAAGAGCACACACTCTTACTTTCTGTGTCCTGCCTTTGCTTTAAAACACGAAAGAAGTCAGAATCACTATATTTTTCTGGAAGACTAAGGACATCAACCTGGAAAAACAGGCTTCTGACCTGTTTTTATAAATACAACCAGTGCCTTTCAGACAACCTCTGGCCAACACCCATTCTTTTGACATAGGATGCCTTTGTAATCACATTGCATCACAGCTTGTGGTTACATCCTGACGCTTCTACACACATCTTCCTCCATGTATGACTCTGGACAAATTACTTATCCCCTAGGCCTCAACTTCCTCATCTATAAAATGGGGATTTATAAGAAGAACATACCTCAAAGGATAGTTGTGAGGATTAATGAAGTAACATATGATATGTGCTTAGCATTTCCTGGAGTGCAATACATGCTCAATAAAGTTAACAGTTTGTACCATTATCCAATATTTTATCTTGTAGACGATCAAGAGAGTTTATACAAGGGATGAATGACCTTTTACACTATCCAAAAGCTCAGAAGTGTCTGTACATGCTTAACTTCCCTTAATGAGTTAATACAGATCTATCAGGGTAATTATTTAAACCCTTTTTGGAGCCTCTTTTAGCATAGACCAGTGTCTCCCAAAATGTAGTCCTTGAAACAGCATTAGCATCACCTGAGAACTTGTTAGAAATGGACGTTTTCAGGCCCATTGCAAGACCTACTGAATCAGAAACTGAGGGCAGGGCCCAGCAATCTGTTTTAACAAATCCTCAAATAATTCTGATACATACCGAAGAACCACTGGCCTAGACCATCTCTCTCTTTTTTTTTATAAGAGCTTTATTGAGATGTAATTCACCTATCATACAATTCACCCAGTTAAAGTGTACTGTTAAGTGGTTTTTAGTACATTCACAGAGTTGTCCAAGTATTGCCACAATTTTAGAACATTTTCATCACCCTAAAAAAAACCCCATACCCGTTAGTATTTATTCCCCCATTTTCCTGTAAACCCACCAACCTTAGGCAGCCACTAATCTTTTTGTCTCTATAGATTTGACTATTCTGATATTTCATATAAATAGAGTCATAATGTAGCCTTTTTTGTCTGGCTTCTTTCATTTAGCATAATGTCAGGTTCATCCCTATTATAGCATGTATTAGCTCTTCATTCCTTTTACTGGCTGGCTAATATTCCATTGTATGGATTTGCCACATTTTGTTTATCCATTCATCAGTTGATGGACATTTGGGTTGTTTCTACCTTTTGGCTGTTACAGATGCTGCCACTCTGAACATTTGTGTACAAGTTTTTGTGTGGGCATATGTTTTCATTTCTTTTGTGTATATGCCCAAGGGTAGAATTGCTGGGTCATGTGACAACTCTGTGTATAATCTTTTGAGGAACAACCAGATGGTCTTCCAGAGTGACCGCACCATTTTATATTCCTGCCAACAACGTGTGAGGGTTCCAATTTCTTCACTTCTTTGTCAACACTTGTTTTTATCTGCTAGACCATCTTTTAAAATGATGAATTCTTGGCACTTCTTATTTTCCCTGAAGTAAAAGCATTAAACCTTTAAAGGATGTCGTTTAGTTTTGTTTCTGATATTAGTTTCCTAGTTTCATGTTTACACTATCCATTTTATAATTTTATAAATTTTCATCCTATTTTTGGTCAGTTTAATTTTGAAACACTGAAGGCAGGGATATTTTGCATCAGTAATGGGTCAGTGATGATACTTTTTTGATGGGTTGGTTCTCAAACATTTCTTTTTTTTTTTTTAAAGATTTTATTTATTTATTCATGAGAGATAGAGAGAGAGAGAGAGGCAGAGGCAGAGGGAGAAGCAGGCTCCCCGCGGAGCAGGGAGCCCAATGCAGGACTCAATCCCAGGACCCTGGGATCATGACCTGAGCTGAAGGCAGACGCTTAACCGACTGAGCCACCCAGGCGTCCCCTCAAACATTTCTTGAATATAAATATTCCTTAGCTTTGCAAAACACCAGCTATCAAAAGCAATTCATTTTCTTGACCCTTTGATTTCTGATTACAAACCCCAGCTCAAGAAATAGGGTTTTAACTAAAGCTGATTGACCTTTCTCATCACTCTTTTCTCTTCCAGAGGAATGGCTTCTTGTTGGCACCAAACAAGGACATCTTCTTCTCTATAGGATCCGGAAGGACACTGGTAAGTGGCAGCTCTCCAGCATCAAGAGAGAGGTGACTTATTACTCATGCAAAAAATTATGATAGCTAGTATACAACTGTGAAATCAGTGATTCCTGGGCCATTAAAAATGATTGGGGTTGAAAGTAGTACAGTGGGAAAGTGGGGAGAAGCATGAGAAAATCTCTAGGTTTTTTTTTTTTTTTTTTCAGAGTCTATTCCCCTATCCTGATCTGGTAGGTGAGGTTGAGTGTTCCTCCCCTCCTTGCTTCTAGGAGACTCACTGTCAGAAATAAGACATATTACTGATGTGAATAAGATTTTTGTGTAAATGATGTGGTAGTAAGAAACAAAATTAGGAACCATTGATTTAATAACTTTTGTTAACTTGTGAGGGGTGGACTAGGAGAGAGGAGGCCTGGGTTTGAGCCCAGCTTTCCTTCTCCTTGGCCGAATGCCTGAGTAGGTCCTTTCCAATGTCATTTTCCTCTTCTATAAACTGTCTGTCTCACAAAATTGTTGGGGTCAGATGCAAGGACTTTGAAAAGTAAAGCTCCAATCAAATGTGACTTCATCAGTAAAAATGTAGAATAATAACTAAAGTATTTGAAATTTATTTTGTTAGGGTTTCCTCTGTTGGGGGGAAAAAGCACCTCACTTCCTTTTTGTGATCTTATTTCTATGTTCTCTTTATGGAAAATTGATGTGTTTGGATAATATACCTTGGAGCTCCAGTCTGGAGAAATCTGCTGTTAATGCCAGAGTGTGTTAAACCGTATGAAATTGTCATTATTTGACTATATTAGAAAAAAATAAATTTCATAACTTTCAACCCAATAAACTTTCTGTAGTAAATAGCTTAAGGTAAGAGTGGAGCCTGGAGCAAGGGTAACATGGGAAAAAAGGACATCTTTCTAGGGCATGTGGGGACAATTTCCTTCTACCCATTTTAGGTTCCTTGGGTGGGAACATGTAAGTAAATTGGACTGACAAAAGACAGATTAACAGGGGAAAAACAAACAAGTGTATTTACATGTGTATTACACATACACATGGGAACACTCAGTGATGGGTAACTCAAAGGGGTGGTTGGAATTTGGGCTTGTATAACATCTTAACAAATGAACAACAAATTTTTAGAGAAGGGATAAGACAAAGGAAAAGGACTTTGAGTTTCTAGGATGGCAAATTGTTAGAAGGCAGACACATGGGGGAACTAACGGAATAAGGATGAGTAAGTAAAGTTTGTTTATAGATTGCTCTGGTGTCCTCTCTGGGCTGATGAGGGTCTAGAGCTGTCTCCACTGATTAAATTCTGTCCGTGGTAGAGAGGGGAGGACGGACACCTTTGTAAATGTATGTTCTGTTTTTAGGCAAAATTAGAGGTAGGGAGAGAGCCTTTCTTTATCTGCTTCTTCTCAGTTCCCTTCAGCTCAAAATAATCCTTATCCCAAAGTGGCATATTTTGGGGGGACCTATTCTACTACCCATCACCGGTGGAATAAGGAAAGAGGAAGGCACCTGGTCAGAAAGAGAAACCAGAAGTCAAAGCAGAGGGTGTATTTCATTTCTAAGTTTTTCAACTTTCCTTTAAATCGGGTTGGTAAACTTGTTCCCAAAAGGGCCCAAAAAATAAACAGTTTAGGCTTTGTAAGCTCTGAGATCTCTGTCGTGACTACCAACTTTGCTATTTTAGCCAAAAGCAGCCATAGACTGCGTGCAAAGGAGTGGCGTGTCTGTGTTCCAACAAAACTTTATTTATAAAGACATGTTGAGGGCTGGATTTGGCCCTGGGGCAGTACTTTGCTTGCCCTTGCTGTAAATTTTTAGTTCTCAGGGCCAGAATATTTCGATTCTGTGACACCTATTAGACTATAATTTAAAAATTAAGCTTGCCTTGGATTTTATTCAGCATTTGACAACCATGATTTGACTATCCACCATAGGCTCAGATACTGTGCAGGGCAGGGAGATAAGAGAGCTTAATATTCTTTACTCCAGTAGATAAGCAGTTCTTTGTAGCATCAAATACTAAATACCAAGGTAACATGATTTGTTTGATAGGTCATTGCTATATAAATGGTAGGGAATTGAAAACTAGACTATAAGAGTAAATCTCAACACAGTATAGACTGAAACTGGTAATATTAGTGCTAATCTGACTTGGAACTTTGGTGGTGATTATTCCATGCCCTGTGATGAGTTCACCATGTGACTTTTGAGACCTTAATTCCTGGGGCTCAATTTCTGCATAGGTAACTTCAGTAGCAGTGCCACCGGCCTTAGACAATTGGGAATCAAGCTCTGATCAGAAACTTGACTTCTCCCTATACCCTTAGAGAACAGTTCAGTTCTGGCTCAGCTCTTGCCTGTTTATGGCCCGAAATAGAAATAGACTTGGGCCTCCATGAATCAGCCATAGAACTAGCTTGGTTTCTAAGTTTGAGATATTCCAAACCTAAATAGGGCTGCAACCAGACTGTCTTTCTGAGGAAAGAGAGAGGATGATAAGATGTCATGGAGAGGCTGGAATTAAGGGGACTTGGGATCAGATGTGAGTCATCTTCTTTGGGCTCAGAAATGCCTCTAGGCCTCATTTTACTCCTCTCTTAAACAGAGGTGTTAGATTAGCTCACATCAAATGTCTTAACAGTTTCAGGTTTACTTCAGTGGTGCCGTCACCTTAGAGCAGTGGTTCTCAAAGTATGGTCTGTAGACCTCACGGGGTCCCCAGGATCCTTTCAGAAGGTTTACCAGGTCAAAACTAAGTTCACTAATATTTAAAAATGAGTTAATAAATATACATTTTAAAATTTTCTCAGTCTAATTTCTACTGTGGTATACATTGATAACTACAACCCATGTTAGAGTTTGGGGATTCTCAATAATTTTTTTTTTAATTTTTCTATTTATTTGACAGAGAGAGAGACAGCGAGAGAGGGAACACAAGCAGGGGGAGTGGGAGAGGG